AAAGGCCATGGCTAGAGAGTTGGCTCCAGGGTAAATACTTGCTGTACAAACCAGATGTAAGTTTGATGCCTGGTTCTCATTAGGAGAACACCAAGCTGGGTGTGGTGGTGCACAACTTTAATTTCAGTATTTGGGAGACAGAGGCAGGTAGATGGATCTCTGTGAGTTGGAGGCCAGCCTGGTCTATAGAGCGAGTTCTAGGACAGGCAGGACTACACAGAGAAATAATATCTTCAAAAACCAAAAAAAGAACACCAACTATGAAAGTTTCCTCTTCCCTACACTCCCACACCATGCCATGCTACCTCACTTCATCCGTAGCTCTTGTACAGAGCCACAGTGAGTAAAACTAACCCTGAGCATCTGCAGATGAAGGTGTGTGGACACAGCTGTACTGCAGGGCACACAGTGACCCGCTACAGCTTCCACGATGATGTGTTTTCTATGCTGTGTTTGTGTGTGTTTTAGGAAGGAGGTTACAAGGGCAGGGGGACAGATACGCAGGGTCTAGGAGATGAGAGGGACTAGGGTGCATCACGTGAAACTCACAAAGAACCACAAATTTTTTTTTGTTTTGTTTTGTTTTTCGAGACAGGGTTTCTTTGTGTAGCCCTGGCTGTCCTGGAACTCACTCTGTAGACCAGGCTAGCCTTGAACTCTCGAACTCAGAAATCCGCCTGTTTCTGCCTCCCAAGTGCTGGGATTAAAGGTGTGCGCCACCACCGCCCAGCAAAAAATTTTAAAAAGTAAAATGAATACATTAAAATTTAAAAAAAAAAAAAGCAAAGGAAGTTACTAGCATGGGACACTTGTTTAACATGTGTATAAAATCCCAATGTGTATGGTTGTTTGGTCCACATGTAAGTCTGTACATCATTGGTGCCTGGGACCTGCTGACTCCAGAATCACCTGCAGAATTGCAGATGGTTGTGAGCCACCATGTAGATGTGGGAAATTGAACCTGAGTCCTTTGCAAAAGTAGCCAGTGCTCTTATAGAGTCTGTTCTGTAGGCCAGGCTAACCTTGATCTCTTAGTTCTCTGGCCTCACCCCTTGAAGCTAAGATTATAAGCATAAACTGCTGTGTCCAGCCAAGAGTTTATCTCCAATACTGAAAAAGTAAAGTGCTGTGGGGTGCTAGGCCTTGGGCATTGTCTTAGTTTAGGTCTTAAATTGCTGTAAAGAGACACCATGACCATTGTAACTCTTAATAAAGGACAACATCTAATAGGGTTGGCTTACAGGTTCAGAGATTTACTCTATCATCAAGACAGAAAGCATGGCAGTGTCCAGGCAGGCATGGTGGGGGAATTCTACATTTTTTTATTTTTTTAAAGAAAGACGATGTATTTCTGGTTAGAGTGTAAGATGATATAGCCACTATGGAAAAGCAGTTTGGCAGTTCCTCAGATAGCTAGACAATTATTCTGTGCCCTGGTGATTCTAGACATGATATATAAGGGCAGGAGGGTTCTATTCTACATCTAGACCAGAAGGATGCAGGCAGCCAGGAGGAGGGTCTCATCCATGCTAGGTGTAGCTTGAGCATAAAGTCTCATAGCCTGCTTACACATAATCAGACTTTTCCAACAAGGCCATACCTCCTACTAGTGCCACTTCCAGTGGGCCAAGCGTATTCAAACCACCACAGGTTTGTACAGTTTCTTAGCCAGGATCACTCACCCAACAAGTTGTAACTTGTCATGCTTCTACCAGACACCCAGTTGCAAGCTGATACACAGCCCTGTTGTGTGGCAAAACTTTTCTTTAGGAGATGCAATTCACACAAATCTATCTTCCCCACCCCATTAAAGAACCTGCAACAGACCAAAAGTATGCATGCCACCAAAGTCCAATGTGGTGAACCAATGGTTTTATTGTCACAGGAATATGGATGAGGGATTATTTACAGGAACAGAAATTATTCAAAGGTAGCTGCATTACCAAAGCCATGGGTGACATGTCACTCACAAAGGTGGAAATTTGGTGCACACTGCATGGCCTATAGGCAGCTCAGTTAGGCTAAACCTCTTCCATGCAACCTCTTCAAAGTTGGTTTCTGCTTCTTCCAGGCAGTTGGTGTGGTCTCAGGCAGTTTTTCTCTTGAGTGTCTTTGAAGCTCAGCTTTACTTCTCTGAGAGGTACTCACAGTTTTTATTGTTTACACTTGTAGGGAGGGGCTTAGTGAATTTAGCTAGTTTGGGGGACTTCCTGAAACTATTTTGAGTTGTTTAACCTTTCTACTTAAGGAGCTTAAAGACAGAATGTTTCAATCTCAGAAGAAATTGTTAACACGAGTCCTCTGTTTTAGTGTCTGGGTTCAAGTGTATCTCCAGTAGAAGGCTGGACTGACCCTAGCAGGGGCTATCTCCCTTTGTAAAAGCAATTGATTTTCTCCTGTCTTTGGCTGTCACCTCTTCTAGATCTTCTATCAGCCTGCACGAAGCTGTTATTTCTTCTTTCTTGACTCCTTCATCCCTCTGACCACTGTCCCACTTATTTCCAGGCTGGAACCTTTACTCTTGTCAACTGTCTTCTACTTGTCTCTGGAGTCCACTGGGCTAACTTTATCTATAACATTCTACACCAAAGTTTCTTCTTTGCCAACTCCCATTGATTGCCATAAGGTTAGAGCCAGTATTTAGGTCTTTGTATTCTCTCGCTCCGTTTCTACCTTCTGTCATAGCCTGGAACAGGTTATACATACCCTTGTAGACCCTCATACCCTTTTCTTCCCAAGTGCTGGGATTACAGATGTATATACCATCACACCTGACCTTTCTCACATCCCTTGCTTATTTTTTATTGATTCGTACAGTAGCACATCATATTGTTGTCTGTCATTCCTTTTCTAGACTGTAAGCTTATTAGCCCTATGATGAGCCCAGTGGTCATAACACTTCCAAGTTTAGCATAGACAATGTTGTTTATATGTATTTAGGAGATGACATCTGGGTCCATAGCTCTAGATACTATCTGTGAGGTCATAGCCTGGCCCTCTCTTTGGTTAATAACCTCTCTCCTAGTAGCTAGATGTTTCCTCTATTTGGTTTGGTGGATTAAAAGTTGTCAGCAGAGTATGACAACAACTGACTGTAATCTCAACACTAGTGAGGCTGAGGCAAGAGGATAGTGATGAGTTTGGGGCCCATCCTGGGCTACTGAGTGAACTCCTGTCTCAAAACAAAACAAATAACCCTAGCACTCAGGGGGCAGAGGCAGGCAGATTGCTGTGAGTTTAAGACCGGTCTCGTTTACATAGCAAGTTCTATGGCAGGCAGGGCTACCTTACAAGGCCTTGTCATATTTCCCCTTTCTAGCAACTTGCTACAGTTACCCCTTTCTGTCTCAAACTCCATGTCAGCCCATTAGCAAACTTCAGTTTACTCCTACCAACTGCCACTACTCTGATGTAATGTTGCCTTAACTTTCCCTCGGGAAATGAGAACTAGGGCACCAACTCAGCCCTTAGTGTTGTGCCTCTGAGCTACTGCCCCACTGTCTTTACTTTTTATTGTGAGACAGGGTCTTACTCAGTTGCCCATATAGGCCTTGAGCTTTGGGTTATAATTTTCTTTCTCCACCTTCCTATAGGCTGGAGTTAAGAGCATGTATGTGGTCCACACCTAGTTTGATGAATCAATAGATAGAGAGTTAGAAAGGGGGAGGGGGAGGAGAGAGAGGGAGAGAGAGAGAGAGAGAGAGAGAGAGAGAGAGAGAGAGAGAGAGAGGGGGAGAGAGAGAGAGAGAGAGAGAGAGAGAAAGTCGTGTGAACCCAGAACTTAGAATTGTCCAGGCAAGTACTCTACCACTGCACTTGCTATATTCTCAGTTCTTTTTTTGTTTTTGAACAGGGTCTCTATATAGACTTGGCTGTCATAGAACTCACTGTGTAGCATAGACAGGCTGGCCTCAAACTCAGAGATCTAACCCCTCTGCCTCCCAAGTGCTGACATTAAAGATGTGGGTCACGGTGCTTATCTTGTATTCTCATGCATAATTTTAAACTCCAGGAAAAAAAAAACAGCAAAATCGTATCTGTCTTAAATTGTATAAAGAAAAAAATTTTCTTGGTAAAAAAATAACAGAAATCATCTGCCTCTCGTCTCATGCTGGGATTAAAGGTGTCTGCCAGCACTGCCTGGCTTTATTTTATTTTATTCCCTCTTTGCAGTGGTTGAACCTGAAATCTCTTTTTCATTTTTCTTTCTAAGATCAGACCGGTCTCTTTATTTTTATTTTATGTTTAGTGGTGTTTTGGCTGCATGGATATCTGTATAAAAGTGTCAGAAGTTCTGGAACTGAGTTATAGAAAGGTGTGAGGTTCTGGTTGGTTCTGGAAATTGAACTGCGGTCCTCTGGAAGAGCAGCCAGTGCCCTTAATCAGTGAGCCATAGCCTTTAACTCCTGCCTCTGCCTCCCTAGTGCTGGGATTGACTTGCCATATATCACTTGCATGGGCCCAAGTCAAGGACATTTTTGTGTTTCTACCTTGACCTAGCTGGAAGCCAGCTTTGCCATTCTCAGTAACTTCACCATGTTGTTAAGATACCTGACTATAAGACCTATCAGCTCAAAGGATGTGGAGCCTGGATAAAGACTGCAGAGCAAAGCTCTCAGTCACTGACTCAGGGTGTCTGTGTGCCGTGTATGCTCTGCCTTATCAGTCCTGTGCTATGCAGCCAAAGCCATGTTTAGACTTCTGGGTGTTCCCTACCATATCACTTCTATGTGCAGTCTTGAAGTTAGAAGTCGGAGAGTGACATCATGGGCCCTGTGAACCTATATGCTAAATACACAGGGCAGAAGCTGCATTTAATGCTTGCTGTGTGTCTAAGGCTGTAAGGCCAGCCATTCCTGGTCATTAAGAGTGAGCCTTGTACTTTCCTTGGACTTCTCCCAGAACAAGATACTGAGCTATGGGAAAGAGAATGGTATGACTTGCAGTTTTGGGGACCATTGGAAGGTCTGACTGTGCTCTCTGCTCCCATCCCTTCCCAGCCTCCCCTCCGGGGCTCCGTGGGACACTGGATCTCCAGGTTATCCGTGTTCGGATGGAGGAACCACCGGCCGTCAGCCTCTTACAGGACTGGTCCAAGCACCCCCAGGGCACCAAGGGGGTGGGAACAGGTGACAACCCAGACTGGCCCACGGTTCTGTCAGAATCCAGTGCCACTGTTAAGGGACATCCAGAGGCAGGAAGTGGAGTGTAGGTTTTTAGTTTTCTAGAGAGGGAGGGGTGGGAAGAAGGAAAGGTGGGTGGGAGGAGGTAGTTATCCCCCATTGGCTTAAATCTCAGATCTGCCCAGCTTGGCCACCTGATGGAGAGTTTTTAAGAACAGGTGCCAGGACAGTGTGGAGGGGGGAGGGGTGACATCACTGTCACATCGGGGTACTAGAAAATGCCTGCCCTTGGCCAAGCCTGAGGTAGGCAGAGGTGGCTTAGGTTGTTGGGTGGTAAGGCATTAGGCCTGTGGAGAACACCTTCCCCAATCCTTTGCTGACCCTATAACCCCACCTCCTTCCTCTCAGCTCCCCACCATTCTCCCCTGGCACAGTGCCTTATGCAGAGGTGGTCATGATGGGGTTTGAACTGAGTCCCACTACCTCGGGGGACACCTTTCCTCCCCCACTTCTGGCTCCTACAGCAGGAGGCCTCCATTACCTCTTACCGCCTTGTCCCTGCCCGAGGCTCCCGTTACCACCCCTTTACCTGTCGTCCTGTTGCATCTATTGTCCTGTTGTATATATTGCCTTTGTTGACAATAAATTATTTTTTTTTTATTAAAAGTTCTGTGTGCGCTGTCATTGGGGGAAGCAGCTTGACGGACAAAAAACTGAAAAGTAGTCCTGGGTGGGAGCCAGAGACCCCTGTCCAGGGGAAAGCAGAAGTGACCCCAGAGTAGAGCTTGCTTGGACCTCAGGATCTGTTTTAACTTGGTGTTAGGCACCTGAGAGACCGGTTTTCTTTACCTGATCTACCCACCTAGTAGTGCTGTGTCCAAGCAAAGCTACTATGGGGCTGGGGACACTCGCACCCAAGGAGCTAAGAGTTACTGGGACCTGATCCTGGCCAGTCTGCATAAATACCTCCCCTTGATGTGAAGGTGGTACATCCCCGCTTTCTCAAAGGACTGTACCCTCCACTATACAATTCACTTCTATTCCCCAGCCTTAACCCAAGTCTGCCTAGGGTCTGCAGATCTAGGCATCCTGAGCTATCTCTACATAGACCTAATCTGTGGCTTTTGCACTTGGGGTGAAAATGAACATCCCAGATTGCTTCCTCTCAAATCCTAGATTTCATTGTCCAGTTCAGAATCCCCAGGAGGTATAGTGAAGGTGGGGCCACCCCACACTGCTGACTGTTCCTGGTATATTATGGAGGCTTGGGGAAAGGTAAAGAGGAAGCTACGCGTCCATCATGAAGAGTCAGGATATGCTGTGTACTTGCTTAAGCTAAATTCCCTATGAGGCCAGAGATCTCATACTGGACTGCTGAGAATTGGCCCTTTTAAGCCATCTGATATTCTCAGGAGTCCTAGAATGTAAAAGGTCCTTGTCCAGGAGAAGAGACAGGAATGAAGTAGATTCGGGAGTTAAAGTTTCAAGGTTGCCAGGCGGTGGTGGCGGACACCTTTAATCCCAGCACTCGGGAGACAGAGGCAGGCGGATTTCCCAATGCTGAGTGACTCCTTTATGTCACAAGGTTCTAGACAGGGTTCTAGACATTGAAAGCAGAACCAGGAGGAAGCCAAACAAGCCCTATGTCATGGTGTGACTGTTCTGGGGAGAGACCAATAGTAAACAGAAATACATGCTAAGTAGAAAACCAGCTTGAAGAAAGAGCACTTTATTTATCATAGGTTTTGTTTTGTTGAGACAGGATCTTTTTATGTAGCCTTGGCTAGCCTAGAATTCACTGTGTACACCAGGTTGACTTCAAACTCACAGAGATGCACCTGCCCCTGCCTCCTACATCCTGAGACTAAAGGCCTGGACCACCTTGTTCAACTTTATTCTTGCCTGTAGCCGAGAGTAGAACTCACTGTGTAGCCCAAGCTGGCCTGGAAGTTGCTCTGTAGTCCATGCTGACTTCCAACTTGTGACAGTCCTCCAGCCTCAGTATCATAAGTTCTGGAATTATTTTCATCAAACTACTGCACCCAGCAAGTTTCTTTATCCATGGATTTGTGGATGGGTCTCTAAGCTGGCTCCATATTGTGTCTACTGTGACTCTTCAGGATATTTTGAGGTATACACCAAGCATGTTTTCATCTGCAAGTACTTCTGTTTGCATCTCTGAGCAATTGACTATTCAATAAATTGTACAATTATCACACTTAAAAAAAATATGTTTGAGTTCAAGGTGAGCCTGGTCTACAGAGTGAGTGCCAGGACAGCCAGAGCTATACAGAGAAACCCTGTCTCGAAAAACAAAAAACAAACAAACAAAAAAATATGTTTAATCCCAGCACTTGAGAGGCAGAGACAGGCAGATTTCTGAGTTCGAGGCCAGCCTGGTCTACAGAGTGAGTTCCAGGACAGCCAGGGCTACACAGAGAAACCCTGTCTCAAAAAAACAAACAAACAAAACAAACAAACAAACAAACAAACAAAAAAAACCAGAAAAAAATATACATGTTTTGCAGGGTTTCTCTGTGTAGAACCTGGCTGTCCTGGAACTCACTCTGTAGACCAGGCTGGCCTCCAGAAATCCACCCGCCTCTGCCTCCCGAGTGCTGGGATTAAAGGCATGCGCCACCACTGCCCGGCTCTTCATTTTCTTTTGAGACATACTTTCACATAGCCCAGGCTGGTTCAAATTGTGAAACCAATAATGGCCATACATTTCTGATCTTTTTGTCTCCAATTCGAGGGATAAGCTTGAAGGTGTGTCCCACCACACCTACAGCTGAGCTACATCACCAGTCTTCTGGAAGAAAATAATTTAGTCAAGAGATATGGATAATTGTAGGAGTTTGTTTTTGCTTTTTTTTTTTTTTTTTTTTGAGACAGGGCCTCTCTATTTATATATCTATGTAGCCCTGGCTGTTCTGGAACTCAGTATGTAGACTGGCTTGGCCTCAAACTCATAGAGATCCACTTGACTCTGCATCCCAAGTGCTTGGATTAAAGGCATGAAAAAACATAGATAGTTGAACAATTTAGCAAAGCTAAACAGAGCAAACACTCTCAAGAGTGGGTTACACCAAAGGGGGGCACCCAGTGGTGCTCTGCTGTGGAAAATGAATATATATTTTCAGAGGACTGAAAAAGGGATTGGATCACCTAAGACTGGAGTTAGAGACATTTGTGAGCCACTATGTAGATTCTGGGAACCAAACTTGGATCCTCAAGTAGAGCAACCAGTGCTCTTAACAGCTGAGTCAACTCTCTAATACCTCAGTTATGGATCATAAAGGCATTTTTTGTTTGTGTTTGTTTTTTTTTTTCCAGACAGGGTTTCTCTGTGTAGTCCTGGCTGTCCTAGAACTCACTCTGTAGACCAGGCTGGCCTCGAACTCAGAAATATGCCTGCCTCTGCCTCCCAAGTGCTGGGATTAAAGGCGTGCGCCACCACGGCCCAACTGTGTTTGGTTTTTTGAGACAAGGGTCCCCTATACAGTCCTAGATAGGCTAGGACTTACTATGTAGACCAAGCTAGCCTTGAACTCACTGAGATTTGCCTCCTTTTGCAGAGTGTGGGATTAATGTCATGTGCCACCACACATAAAGTTTTTTTTTTAAATGTAAAATGTATTTGTATGTGTATGTGCACATACTGTGTGTGTATGTATACATGTTGTATGTATGTGCACATGCTATGTGTGCACGTGCTGTGTGTGTACACGCACACGCTGTGTGTGCATGTGCGGGCTAAAGGACAACTTGTGGGAGGCAATTCTCTACTTCTACCGTATGGCTCAAACTTAGGTCATCAAGCCTGGCAGGAAGTACCCATCCCCACTGAACAATCACACTAGCCCTCTTTTCTTTTTTTTTTATTTAATTTTTTTAAAATTTTATTTATATGAGTACACTATAGCTGTCTTTAGACACACCAGAACAGAGTATCAGATTCTGTTACAAATGGTTTTGAGCCACCATCACACTAGCCCTCTTTTTTTTTTTTTTGCTTTTGTTTTTGTTTTTGTTTTTTTGAGACAGGGTTTCTCTATGTAGCCCAGGCTGTCCTGGAACTCACTCTCTGGAGACCAGCCTGGCCTCGAACTCAGAAATCTGCCTGCCTCTGCCTCCCAAGTGCTGGGATTAAAGGTGTGCACCACCACCGCCTGGCCTACACTAGCCCTCTTATAGAAGTATTTTATATTTATGAGGTAGGTGGCATATTTATTGGATAAGGTAACCCGTTTCCTTCTAAAATTCTCTCTAAAAGGAGATCTGGTGGACCAGATCTCCTTTTTTTTTTTTTTTTTTTTTTCCATGACCCTCTAGAAAAGTGTATGAAAGGGATTTGGGGTCAAAGCTGTAATAGAAGCGATGTCTTTATGGCACAGATCTTGTGAGGACACTGGCCCTTTGTACACGTAGGTGGAGAAATCCCCTAGTGCCTCAATTTCTGACACAGCAGTGGACAATCTATCTGCAGCTTCAAAGATGTTTAATGAGAAGTGTTCTGGCCAGCCCGAGAGATGGCTACTGAGATGTGCTCCTGTATTCTCTTGTCTGTTGTCTGCCTGGCTTCGCCCCCACTGCCACTGCCTGCTCCCAGTTGTGGTCTTGTTCCCGGAGTGCCAAAACCTCCTTCCTGCCTCTTGCTCTTTAAGTGGCTGTTCTTGTTAGGCCGATTCCCCTATACTCAATCCAAAATCTAGTCAGATCATGTTACTAGGCAACTACTCATCTCATCCCAGAACAGAGACAAAGTGGTGGCCCCCAGCCCGGCTACCCATCACTTTCTGGCTCCTTCTATTAACTCCCTGCCCCTGGGCTTGTCTTAGTTTGCTTTCTATTGCTGTGTTTTGTTTTTTATTTTTTATTATTAATTATTACTATTATTATTATTTTTTTTTTTTTTTTGGTTTTTTCGAAACAGGGTTTCTCTGTGTGTAGCCCTGGCTGTCCTGGAACTCACTCTGTAGATCAGGCTAGCCTCGAACTCTCAAACTCAGAGATCCTCCTGCCTCTGTCTCCCAAGTGCTGGGATTAAAGGCGTGTGCCACCACCGCCCGGCGTGTTTTGTTTTTTAAAGAGAACAACCTGAGAAGGAAAGGGTTTATTTAG